CTGCAAGCTCCACCTCCCGGGTTCACGCCATTCTCCTGCCTCAGCCTCCCAAGCAGCTGGGACTACAGGCGCCCGCCACCTCACCCGGCTAGTTTTTTGTATTTTTTAGTAGAGATGGGGTTTCAGCGTGTTAGCCAGGACGGTCTCGATCTCCTGACCTCGTGATCCACCCATCTCGGCCTCCCAAAGTGCTGGGATTACAGGCTTGAGCCACCGCGCCCGGCCTAAACATGGATTTCTTATTCAGTAGAAATGCCCTTCAAGGTACGATCTTCAAGGAGAACCCTAGATGACAGTGTCTCACTTATACACACTATTATCTCACTGGGACCAGAAGTAAAACAACGGTTAAAAAATACTTATCATAAGAAAAGCACTAGCATATCTCATTTAGTCCTTATAGCCCCCCTGTGTATTAAGATAGTAAGTATCCCTACTTTACAAATAGAGACACTGGGCCAGGGGCTCACGCCTGTAATCCCAGAACTTTGGAAGGCGGGTGGATCACCTGAGGTCAAGACTTCAAGACCAGCCTGGCCAACATGGTGAAACTCTGTGTATGCTAAAAATACAAAAATTAGCCGGGCATGGTAGCATGCCTGTAATCCCAGCTACTTGGGAGACTGAGGCAGGAAAATTGCTTGAACCTGGGAGGCAGAGGCTGCAGTGAGCTGAGATTATGCCACTGCACTCCAGTCTGGACAACAGAGTGAGACTTTGTCTCAACCAATCAACCAACCAACCAACCAAGCAGGCAATCAAATGGAGACATCAGAAGCTTTGAAAGGTTAAGTTACCTCCCCAAGGGCACTTAACTAGCATCTGGTAGAACTAAGATCCTGATTGTAGGTCCCGTGACTACAGAAACTGGGCTGTTAACGCTATGCCACTTGCAAAGCAAGAAATATGTTATCTTTTCTCTACAAAAACAACTTGGTTCTTCACCTTTCCTTTTTAATATCTGGGGCCAAGAACTACCCAGAAACAGATTTTATAAAATGACAGTTAAATCCACCATTCTTTACCCACCTGCTTTCACTAAACTAATCAACTAAAAAAGGAAAAATGCGCTTGGTATACACAATTTATTTTACTCCCAAAGTACTAAAATTTCAAAGTGACCCAAGAAACAAAGGATAAAATGTTAGGAAAAAACAACAAAAAACAACTGGAGTTCAAATTATAGCACACTCTGCAAGTACAAAAGGTAGTAATATAAAAAACAAAACCTGAGGTGTTATTTTAGAATCTAAAGTACCCGGCCAGGCACAGTGGCTCACACCTGTAATCCCAGCACTCTGGGAGGCTGAGGCAGGATTGCTTGAGCCCAGGAGTTAAAGACCAGTTTAGGCAACAAAGTGAGACCACTTCTCTACAGAAAATACAAAAATTGGCCAAGCGTGTTGGCACATGGCTGTAGTCCCAGCTACTGGGGAGGGTGAGGTGGGAGGATGGGTTGAGCCTGGGAGGCAAAGACTGCAGTGAGCCAAGATCCCACTACGGCATGCCAGCTTGGGCAACAGAGCCAGACCCCGTCTCAAAAATAATTAATTAATTAAAAAAATAAAAAAGAAAGAATTTTCTTAAAAAAAAAGTTAAAAGTAAGGCCAGGCGTAGCGGCTCACACCTGTAATCCCAGCACTTTAGGAGGCCGAGGCGGGTGGATCACAAGGTCAGGAGATGAGACCACCCTGGCTAACATGGTAGAACCCCGTCTCTACTAAAAAATACAAAAAATTAGCCAGGCGTGGTGGCGGGCGCCTATAGTCCCAGCTACTCAGGAGGCAGGAGAATGGCGTGAATCCAGGAGGCGGAGCTTGCAGTGAGCCAAGATTGCACCACTGCACTCCTGCCTGGGTGACAGAGTAAGACTCTGTCTCAAAAAAAAAGAAGTTAAAAGTACCCATCATGTTAAACTAATGGCACTGGACAGTGTTCCTTTGATACAACTGACCTGGATCACATTCCACCCTGAATGTGGAATGACGTTCACTGTATTGTGCACGTAAGAAATGCAACCACATGGTTCTCCAACAAAATACAATACATACCTCAGAAAGGGTCCATCAATAATAAGGAAGGTATAAA